GTGTGACTCATTCTCGAGTAGGGTTATGGCACTATCCCCTGTCTGTTGTGCATTTGTGCCAGCATCTGGTGGTCATGAGCTATAGCACGTAGTGCAAATGTGACCGAGTATCGCCAAGGCGTTTTTTGAAAAGGGATAGGGTGGGTGCATTCATTACATGTTCCGGGAGGGCGTTCCAAGGCTGTGCCACTCGAAGGGAGAAATAGATTCGCCAACATTCCAGGAGGCTGTACTGCGTGATTAAGTTAAACTGGTGACCTCTTAGCGAGGTGTTTTGACTGAGTATCAGAAGGGAATGGCATGGGTGGTTGGGGTTCCTCAAGATCTGGTACACCATTATGAGATCGCCCCTTAGACGCCAATAACGTCCACTGTATAGTTTGAGGGTCTTCAGCTTGAGTGGGTAGGGGAGGCTGGTCAAACCTCTGACGCTCTTCGTTGCCCTACGTTGTGCACTATCGAGCGCGGTGAGATGGTGCTTGAGCCAGGGTTGCCACGCTTGGATAGCGTATTCCGCGTGCGGCCTCACGTACGCACTAAGCATTTTTGGAAAGATCGAAGGGTCAAACTTCTCGAAAGCTCTGCGAAGAAGGCCGAGGTACTGGTTTGCTTTCTTAGCTATCTTTTCAGTCTGCCTCCAACAACCGAGATCATCTTGAACTATCACGCCGAGATCGCACTCGTGAGAAGCCCGCTGTAGAATTTGTGGTCCTAAGCAGTAATTGTGCATACTCTTGTGCCGTATACTGAGAACTTTACACTTGGTGACGTTGAAATGCAGCATGTCCTCGATGGGCCATGTGTACGCTTTGTCCAGGTCATCCTGTAAGACTGTGTGATCCTCCACTGCAGCTATAGTGCGCCATACCTTTAGGTCATCAGCAAATAGCAAACAGTCAGAAGATAGCACACTCGCGAGATCATTTATGAAGACCAGGAACAGGCGGGGTCCAAGTACCGAGCCATGAGGTACGCCGCAGTGAACTTCGGCGGCGGAGCTGCCGTCGAGTAACCTAAATAATTGTGGCTTTAGAGGTTGCGATGGATGGAAGTTCCTAGAATTCGGAAAAACCGATGACCCGGGGAAAGTTCGTGCATTTGTTGCAGGTAGAGCGATATGCTCAACATATTGTGAAGGATGGACGTACCGGCAGGATATTGGGATAGCAGTAGCCGCGAAAGTTTACCGGGGAGTGACTTTCAAGTGAGAGACCTCCGTTACGTCTGTAGGCCGCATTACGCGCACGGTCATTGTGGATATGACTGTAGTAAGAGGCCCTAGAAATATGGTTTACTATTGACTCAAGTGAGTTCCGAGAATCAGGGCACTCTACTATATCAATCTTTGTACGCGATTCAGTAGCTTGAGGGAACCCATTATTTCTATCTTTACAAGATATGGTGGTCACAAGGTTTTCTAACGCACAACTACTATAATTTGATCGCACATTATCCTTGTGGTTACGATCAAATTTGATTGCTGGTGTGCTGTTTGAATGGTCCATATCGCCGTCCACTTGGTGGGATAACTGGACTGATGAGTCGAACCTATGCGCTGGAACCTGGGCGGTCGGTTCCTTCAGTATGGAATGTTTATCGCATTCGTGTGAAGCACATGGTACACCGCTTCTGACAATGGTCGTGTAAATTTTATGTTGACTTCTGTTAGTAAATTTCTCGCGTTTCAAAGAATGAGATTTCTTAGTTGGATCGTTAGACCTTTATGCAATGAGGGTAGTGGTTTCAGCTAATGCTTTAGTCGGACTATTTGCCGAACTGCTGTTAGGAGGAGTTGCTCCGTCTCCGCTGACTGAACTCCTCGTGCTGCTAATTGGCTCAAACAAAATGTCGGCATTCGTGGTAGTAGCTGTGTCGGAACTATCGGATGGAAGGTCTTTCGGTGTCGGCAGTGGCTGATTGCGCCACACTTCTCTTTGCAGCGGTGTTTTGTCAATCGATATCCTTAGTGTTTTAAGGGTAGTGTTTGATGCTAACTGTGCATCTTTTTGATGAACTGTTTTGTCGACTACACATCGCTAAATTGAAAGAGTACGGGACAGCTTTTAGGCAGGACGTCCTTACGGAGTCTTGTACACCTTCACTGAGCCTCTACTATATTACCTAGTTTAAGCAGGATTTTTTGCAGTGTTCCTACCCGCATTTTATCCGGCAAATTGAAAGCCACTGCGTTTTTAGCATATTGTGGTCTACTAAACACGTCATCTGCAGTAGAACAGTCAGAGGTTCCAGCATTCGGAGTTTTGTCGCCAAGTGATTATAAGATGCCAATTTTATTTTAATTCGTTCCAACTCCTCTTGGATACAGTTGAACTTAGAGTGTATCGTTCGGTGCATCCACCGGCTTTCCAGAGCGACCTCACAGTCAAGGTGGCTTAGTGGACTTTGGCAACTTGGGGGATTTAAGGGGAAACGGATACCTTTTGGGAGACCGTATACGAGCATGCACGTCTACCCGGCATTATAGGTGGTGGTTATGGTAATAGGACGAGGACAGGAAAAACGTTACAGAACCACTCTACAGTGCCTAATTTAAACCGCAAACATGTATAGAATATGAGTGTAGAGACTGACCGTTGAGTTTCCACTGTCAGGACCTTCTTGATTGGCCGTTCAGTTGTACCCTGTTCTTGCAGTTCGGACGTGAACCGTCCATGGGTGACGAATAATTATCGACCCTCTAAATGCGAGCTAGCTTGTGGGCGCAAACGGACAGTCGCTGAGAGTAAGCGAAAGCCACAACTGCAATTTATGTGAACCTAGTGACTGCAGTAACAGGCTGTAGATACAGTACTGATCGTCGGATTGTTGTAGAATGTTGGCTGGCTAGGAGGCGCGCAGAACAAGATCTTGAGCGATGTTAAAATGTGCACACAAAACTGAGGTAGTATTGTGTGTGAGATAGGCAAAGCCTTTGCCAGAAATGCTGTAGCGAGGTAAACAGTGATGCAAGAAGGATGAAGCTGTGATCTTGATTCCGTTGAATAGAGCTCGTGAAACCGAGTCGAATGAGTGCAGGCGCAGCAGTGTGCACCGAAATGGCGACAGTAGGGAGCCGGATGAATCAGAGCGTTAATACTTTGCTGCCTGCGCACGTGAAGTTATGCACGAAACGGTACTACCTGAGCTAACAGCGGGTGAAAGTGTGAGTTCAACCATTATCCGCTAGTCAAGAGCAGTGAAAGAAAGGTGTGGTGACTGCGAGGGTCGGTGCCAGGTCATACGAAATAACCGTTGGAGGAAAAACGTTCAGAAGAAATTGAGTGCATTTAAGACGACACCGGGGACAAAACTGTGAGTTCGGAATGGAGCGCCAGATGGCATGGGGCACGGAGATCACGGCCGCAGATAGGGCGAAGACAACGCGGAGTGACAAGGTGTACGGGGTGGATAGCAAGATGGAGGCGCAGGAACAAGAAAAAGAGAAGATGTGATGGGAGTCTCAGAGCAGAGTGAGCGGATGGACCAACCGAGCGAGCCAGAAAGTGAGGAAGGACTCATTGGCGGAGAAGGGTTGTTAATTATGGCCTTAAACGTGCAACTTATAGTGAGGAGTTTAGCTTGATAAACGTGCTATAATTTTCGCCGTCTTTCCTAACTGAATAAACGCTTGTCCCTGAAGAACTGAGTTCTGAAACACCTAGTCAATGCAATATTCGGTTAACGTAATGTGCCGTGAAACCAGAGAAATCGATGGACACTCACCGAGAAACATGTCACGCCTATGCAGCACGCGAAGCCGGTTAACTAGGCTGATGTATGCTCATGTGACCCATGCAAGTCCTTACTAACCGCATAAGAGAAAAGACAGAAGAGGCGGACTTATGGGAGATTTTCTATGATCCACAAAGTTCGAATAAGTCCGTTTTGTGGGAGAAATGAATCAGCACGCCGAGCGTGTGGATTACAAAAGACCATTGTTCACTTCATCCCGGTTATAAACTGACTCGGACCAGCTTAGAAGCCGCTGCGTTGTGGGTTGGAAAAGGACCACGCGTACTGGAGTCCGAGGTGCGATTGTGTATTTTTCCGGAATAACTTGACGTTCCCGCAATACAAACTGTTGTAGGATCGGACGTCCGTGTATAGTTTCGGAAAATTTCAAAACGAATATATGTTGTTTTAAACTTGTATTAACAATTTTTAGTGATGTTTCTTCACTGCAGTTGGGCTTAATCAAGTTACACTTAAACTAGGTCTTCTTTAACTGGATAAATTTGGTTTGTTCTGCCTACCTGAATAATCTTCTATTAACTGGCAACATTGCTTACGCTAATTATGGTTAGGTTCGCTAACTTTACTGCGTTTGTAGCATTTTTCGAGTAATTTGTGGACATTTTGTACCTATCGCGGATTCGTTGCTAATCAACTTACTTCATACACTAATTTAGCGAAGAGCTATGTCGGCATGGCCGCATGCTTTATTTTATTTCATCTTTTTTATTTATCATCTTGTCATTTCAGTTGATTGACTGTTGCTTGATATCCCCGGTGTGCCTGAGCTTGATGTGCACGTTGACAAGGTGCCTAGCTGTCTAGTACCCACTACCTCGTCCATACTGGCTCCAGGAGACAGCTGGTCGTTGCCGCAGAGGACGGGGTGTACGGTTCTTGTGGTCGTGCTAGGCTAGAAAAGTGGTTCCATGCAGTCAGTGTGGAGCGGACTATGGTCCGGCCACCGCCTTGTGTGCACTTGATTCTACAACTACAGCGTGCTCGTGTTTGCATGTGAAGGATTGTAGGCCGCTCCGTTGATGAAACGTGGTTCCCATCTACATGCCTCCTGGTCTTATTCCTTCGGGTTTACAATGGGTATGGGGTGTGTGGGTGGAACTGTGGATGGTGCAGCGCAAGCCATACATGGTCCCTCTGTAGGCGCAGGCATCCTGTGGTTTTCCCAGTGGATGCCGCAGTGACAGGCAAATCCGAAACCGTATGCCACTAACCTGATTACCGATTTGGGTTTTGAAACCTTCACAGTTGGTTCCAAATTAATTTAAAGATACCTGTGTATAGATTTGTGTAAGTTCTGCTTTAGAAATCGAATCAATTAAGAGATAAAAACTCACAGGGCGAATGGTTTGCATCCAAAAGCACAATGAGGATCACGATAGAACGAATGCACTGAAAATACAGTTACATATAGTCCATCCTAAAATGCATGCACATAAATAAAAGGCAGAAATGAGCGTATGTGTACAACAGCATGATATACAAATACTCGTCGGTTAACGCATTAGGCGGCGGTGCTCGATACTCCTCGAAGGCCGGAAAACAGCTGACTCAAATCGACCATGGCAAAGGCCGAGTGGGACAACAATCGATCGAAGTGAGAACGAGACTGCTGCAATAGACGGCTGAGCGAAGGAGGCGCATAGCCTGGGGCAAAAAAACAATAGAAAAACGCCGTGAAATGCTCCAATGACTGACAAAAAACAAGTGATTCAAGCGGATGGCAAAGAAGCAAACGTTTAAGGTACTTGACACTTAAAAGGAACTTGATAGTGGAGGCGAGTGCAAAGTAAACATAACCAACAGGGCCTAAAATTACTCCCAAACATCGCAAGTAACTCTTTACGATTAAGGAGTCAAACATAACAGCGGCCAGGTAACGCACGCCGTAATTCCAGATGGGTGTCTGAAGACGAGCTTGAGTAGAGCACAAGAACGAGAGTAAATGGAGCAAGAGTGTGCAACATATTTGTTGGGCACCCAGTTGACACAGCAGGGGCCTACACTGATCACATTGGATGTGTGAAATTAGGAATTTCGAGTCACAAGTGCCAACGTAGAAAGTTGCTCATGTTGGGAGGAAGGGAGGCACTGCTTGATGATTAATGCCGATATCCATCAACTGGTGTTGCTGATTGACTAAATTACATTCTTTGCATTCCCAATGAGTAGTTGTATCAGGAAGTTTTCCAGACACAAAGCGGTCTTTGAGTGGCCAAAATGGACAAGAAGAGGAGGGGAAGTTGATTAGTGACTAGCAGTCTGTTGGGGTAGTCGATTTCGTTGAGTGACTCGATTCATCGAGACCCATTTTGTGAGGAGTAAACCAATGCGTGTTTTTTCTCGCGTGCTGCTTGCAAAGTTTCCTGTTGGTATATTCGCCATGGGACACTAAGCTATGGATAGTACACTTTTTTGTTTTCAGCCGGCATACTTTTGAACTCCCCAAACGGTACTTCTTCCCGCTGAGAGGTTGTCATTCGTGGGTCTGGTTTGCTGTATTAAATTTCGTGCTTCAAAGCCCAATATTTTGCTTTGGGCTTTTGGAGCTAGTGCGAACCGTGTGGTCCAAGGGACCATACGTGGCGATTTCCTAATCCGTGACACAATCCTCTTGCAGTTGACACACTGGCTGGCTGAACTCTGCAACCCAGTTGAATATCTCTTCAATTATTTTCGTTCTACCTACTTGTACACTTGCCATCTGCTCGTGGAATCACTGACGAGTTGGTAGGCTGAACACCCAGGTCCTCCCATTACGACTTCAATACGCCATATCTTTCAACAGTTCGAAACGGATGTAAGTGGTTTACTCATTCGCTAGTGAAACAACCTTGGATATGGTGCTTGATATGATTGTAAATCAGGCCTAGTTTAACAATGACCTCGTAGCCCCATTACTCGCCTAATACAATATCGAACCACTGTCAGTCCAGCAAGTTAGTGTTCTACACTATTTTCTCCATCATACAGCCCACTCGTCCTGAATAACATGCATCGCGCAAACTAGCCACGAACACCGCTACCAACAGAGATGCAGAACGCGTTTGCGGAAAGATTTCCCGTTTGTTCGCCTGCAAGAATGCGTACCAATACTTCCAACAGGCTAGGGGAATCCCGCGATCTAAGTTATGTGTACACGAACCATACAACGTGTTGCCATACCATCCACAAGTCAGTCATATTTTCGAGATCATATTCTTTATCAATTCCTTAGGAAATGCTTGATTTAACACACACTTAGATTTGTTACACTTAGTCTCTTTAAGGCGTTCGGGACCGCAATTCAATCTACATAAGAATGAGATGATTGTGAACAAAGAACGATGCATTTTCATAAGAAATATCCGACGGTATCTAGGGTCAAAATTCCTCGTGGCTGATGAGCAACAAATTTGTAACATCCGTTTTGAATGAAATCTTTACGAAATAATTTGGAACACTGGTAGCCCGGATTGGTTGCTCACCTGTTGATCGTTTCTCCGAGCTCGGAGAAACGATCAACAGGTGAGAAATCTTTGCATAATGACCGTATCATGTTTACTGGACCAAGTTTCACGTTTCTGCGAAATATACCTATATTGTTACGGTCGTCCTGACTCAAAACAACGCTTCAAGCGATCCATCGACGTCATTTCGAGCTACCGATTTGTCGGTGGTTCGATCGGCGATGTTTCTCAAGTGGAAAAATATGTCGAAGAGACTGGAATCAATTCAAAGTCCAATCGAACCAAAGTGTGCATGTCCGCAGATAAAATATCTCAAAGTGAAGTGCAATGGAAAGCAAGCAACCCAATGCAACACGCCTGCGATGGAAGTGCCCTATTCCAGAGAACAGATAAAGTTGAGGGACGAGCCAGGCGGCTAATGGAAGACGAAACTGGCGGATTCGATCAATGGACACAGCAAGCATAGTTGTTCATCCACAGGAGTGCCTTTATTAGCTAATGCTTGAGTGCTTCCCAGTCTGTTTAACCGACTCAAAGGAGAAACCTCATTGGCGCAAAAACGTCGTTTATGGAAATGCATGATGTAATTTTCGCCGAGCTAACCATGCTGTATAGAACTTTTTTCCTGAAAAACCGAGTTCTACGACAATGATATTGAATGCAATAAAAAAGGAAGAGGATTGGTCTGGTAGCCTAGAGCATAGTACATACAACGAGAATGTTTGGAAGTGGATGACCATTAGCACACACCAACACTCACTTTCCGCTGCGAGTTTCAGAGCAGTGCTTATCAAATGGCGGTAGAAGCACAGTTGCCGGTACAAACGACCCTCGGTGTACTGCGCCTTAAGTAGTGCTAAACCACCGCAGCCAGGACAAAGAGGACGACAGCCACGAGCCCACAAGCCATCCGATTCGCCGTGAATCCCCATAAAGCTAGGTGGGCAATGGATAGAGCGTGAGATTAAATCGCACGCGGGGTCTTCACATCGGAGCCAGCCCAGCTGGTAACGGACAATGCATTGACGTGCCAGGACGGTTAGACGATTGACGATCACGCGAATCGAATCCACGGAGTGAAGCACGTTGTGAGAACAATGCGAGCACTGAAATGAATAATGTAAGTGGAGAATGCCGGTAAAAACAGTAACGATGCTTTCCGAGCAAAACAAAATTGTCCGAGTAACACGCGAATTTAGTAGAATATATGAATGTAAACGGTAAGTAAGCAAGGTATTGGTAAAATGACCGATAGAAAATGCTCCTATTGATTTTATCCTCCTCGTGCGAAAGCGAATAGACAGGATGGAATTAGTCATCGATGAACGTATATTGAGAACCGATAGACTATCGCATCCTACAATGATGCATAGCTTTAGGATTGTGATCTTTGTACCCAGGGGCTTCGCAACAAGCGCACGAGCAACAGAGTAAGATGAAGTTTACATTCCTTAACATGTTCATGAAAACAGTGCAATTGCACCTCACATTATAGTGAAGCTAGGATCCAATGATGCACCCCCATTAGATGCAGGCGTAGTACTGTGTGCAAAAATACAGTGCACTTCTCTGATAGAAGAGGATGCGTCCTGATTAGGCACTGGCCGGACGAACCATCATCACATTGTTGGGTCAGACTGAAAGAGGCGTGAAAGTCAACCGAAAAAGTTAAACGGAGACACACTGAATACGGTAATGTTGCATCCCAACTTCACACAGAAAGCGGTGAGGTTTGACAACAAATCACGATTTTACAAGGAAAACATACGGTCCATGTTTTTGTAGGTACACCCAAGGAGATAGGCTTAATTTCCAACGGCGGACCACCACATTTCGCAGGACAGGAAACAGTCAGCGGGTCTACGTCACCCCAGGAGCTGAATCCGTTGCCAGCGCCCTCGGAGGCAACGATCTGAAAACAGGAGAAGAGATACATCTAAGTATCCATGGAGCAGTCTCCTCCTATGAAGGAAAGATGAGTTGCGACGACGGAAGTCAAGACCGAACAAAAAGCGGCAACTGAATGAGAACTCACTTCATCATCTTCATCTACGCCTGTGAGGGCCGTTCCCTGGCGTTGATATCCGCTCGGATCGAGGCCTAAGCAATCGGCGATACGAGCCGGGGAGGTGCCCTCAATGGGAGAAACCAGGCGGCAAACAACAGGATGGATTTGGTGGGCCAAGTAATAGTTCACATCCACAGAGAGAACAGGCGTGTTGGCTAGAAGTGACAAGAAGTGCATAAAATAGAAGCGCAAGTTAAACTGGCCGTGTGCACAAGTGCGAGGAGTCCGGTTGCAGTGAGCCATATCCCCACTGTGATGAATAATAGTAAGCAAAATAAATACGAATGCAATGGGACGTCAACAAGCGCGTGGACATAAATTCAGTGGATGAGGTCAGATGTAGGTGTCGACAGATGGAACGTTTAAATCGAACAAAAAGTGCCATCTATTCTGAAAAGGTGCCATGCCAAGCAGACTGTAGGCAATATATATATATATATATATATATATATATATATATATATATATATATATATATATATATGTATATATATATATGTATATGTATATATATATATATATATATATATATATATATAGTTGGCGGCATGCGCCTACAGTGGGACCATGGGTGGCTTGCACTGCACCACCCACAGCTCCAACTACACACCCCATACCCAGTGTAAACCAGGAGGAATAAGACCAGGAGACATGTACATAAGAACCAGGTTTCATCAACGGAGCCGGCTCACACTCCTACACAGGTAAACACAAGCACGCTGTAGTTGGGCATTAAGCGCACACAAGGTGGTGGCCGGACCGTTGTCTACTCCACACTGAGTGCATGGAACCAGTCTCCGAGTCTAGCGCGGCCACAAGGGCCGTGAACCCCGTCCCCTCCAGCAAAGAGAATTTGTCTCTCTGGCTCTAGAACCAGTATGGGCGAAGTAGTGGGTAATAGACAGCTAGGCACCTTGTCAGCATGCACATCAAGCGCAGCCACACCGGAGATGTCAAACAACAGCCAACCACTTGAAATGACATTATCAAATAAAATATATATGTTAAAGCATATGGCTACGCCGAGATAACTCTTCGTGAGCAGTCATCAGTTGCTCGCTGATGCCAGTGGGCTCACAAACCAGCTGGCCATGGAGGCGATGAGATATTGCAAATCCGACCTCATGTTCACGTGGTGCTGTGGCGTTTCTCACCTAGTAGAACGTATAACCGGCACCAGCTTCATGCAACATATCTTGCTCAGCAAGCCGGGTCTCGCCATAAGCGCCTCAGTCTGATGAATGTAAGGCGGACGATTCTTACAGACCACTCAGTGAGGCTCGTATAAAGAGTCGGAAAGCCTAGGCCGAACAAAGTCATTCAGCCAAATAGCCTGCACAGCAGCAGCAACCGAGGTCTTAGGTCAACGAAACAGATGAGTTTAATGGAAGCCGGAATCATCTATGAATACGCAATGCTGATTCCAGGAGAAGGTTTACCGCTTCAACTGAGGCATTCGAACAGTGCGTCACGTCGCTAACTGCGTGAAAGATGACTGTGTAGGGTACTGGATTTCAGAATGTCCGTATTGCATGAAGACTGTGACTGAGTAGGGGACACAGAATAGGTAAAGGGCGTTCGAGAATGGGAAAATAGGCGAAGTGGAGAAGGTCGGTGCCATTGGAAACAGACGAATGTTGAGTCGAGTAATCGCACACAAGAACCCGAAAAGCATCCGATTAATGAAAGATGGATAGTTAGTTCCAGCTTACTCGTCAACTATGTCAATGGATAAATCCTTGTAATTCAGGAACACTTAGGATGCCGTTTGGTAAGAGAGACGGGGCGCTAACACCCTGCGACCATCCAGTAGTTGCACTGATCTCCCTCCATTGTTGCACAGTACTGATTGTTCGATTGGCTTCAACGTTGGCACACGATAAGTGCAATGCTCGTTTAATAGGCTGCGTGCCACACACTGCAAAAGATATTTTATTCGAGCATCCGCTAACACAACTATCAATGTTTATACTAGTCTTACTTCTCAGTGACTGGTAAGACGGGTTCAGTGTTCACACGCGACTATGGTGCAAGCGGTGGGGTGGCTATAGGTCTCCGATAGGTGGGACAAAGCTTAGAGCTCAAGTATACCGGGACGGATTGATGTTATTTTACTCACAAGAACAGTCTTCCATTGGCGTAATCGCAAGTTCAATGAAGGAGTACCAGTGGAAATTGCAACAATCAGGGTAATGAAAGGGGTGCAGCAATGCCGAACGAGGAGTGATGTGGTTTAACTATCATCCATGATCATTCGGACCGTGCACCTCACAAAAACGAGGGCCGCAATTGCTCCACACCCTTGTACCTGACAAAGCGATTAGAGGGCCATCGGAACAACGTTAAGGTGCACCTCCGGACTGCATGCGACAGGATAAAACGCAAGGGAATTCGCATTTGTGAATTCAAGAAATGCCTTCGCAGGAGCATGTATGGAGCAGGTCCCCGAAAAAATCCCAGGTATTGCGAGACATAAAGTTAAAAAGAAGGTCGGGGTTCGGAAAATATTACGCGAAAAAATGTGGTCAGTGTAAAGACGGTAGAAGTACTGGAGGAACGTCCACACACCCCTCCAATGGATACATCTTCAGTATTTCGTGAGAACATGACATGGCAGTGAGGTGCGCTTGACCAACCCATAATGTTCTACTGGTGATCTTGATAAGTGTCATTCCTCGGGCAAAAACAAATACGGTGTTCCCAAAAAGTGAAGAGCGTGATATCGGAGAAAATGCGAAGTGTCCTCGCCACAATACATCAGCCTGAGTGTTGATTTAAACGGGGTAAGAAGTAGATGTTCCGTTTGAATTGCTCAGTCAGCGACAAAGCTTCCAGGCACTGCATTGGACCAAAAGATGGAGTAATCTGACAATAAGTAACCATATTGGGTAGGTCAGTAAGTGAATGAGACCTGAGGCAAATACACACGCTGAAAAGAGACAGAAATATAGCAATCGAAAGGCACCGCAAAACGTAACAGAATGCTTGATTCGCTCACTTGTATTCGCCAACTTATTGCGCTCTTGATCGGCCAACTCTGATGGACTGTAACCGCGCTGGGTTGCGGCCGAATTGGAACCATCGTTGCAGATGATGTATTCAACCGTATCACCTGCTCGAAACCGGCGGGTGGACCCGGTGGGATTTCTTTCATCAGACTGTGTGGAATTGGAGTGATTGAGCCGGAGAGCCACTTGAACGTGTGGAAGACTTTTGGCATCCGCGTAATCTTCAGGGTCTTTTGTAAGCATCTGGAATAAAAGAGATGAGTGACGTCAAAACCGAAAGATGAAGTCGCAAGCAGATGAGATCCAAATGGCAACCCATCAGTTATTTGAGTTGGTACGCTGCTGCCATACGACAAATAAGAAAAACAAGGATATTAGGAGGGAACCAAAGATAACACACGGTACTTAACCTAAGGAAGACCGTGGTGTAGAAACAGTCAGCTAACATGCGCACAGCCGATATCAGTGATAAGGATACGTTAGGATCACAAACTGCATAGACAAACAGTTCAATGAATAGGTGACACCAACAGGTGTCACTGGTGCTTATTTTACGCTTCGCTCTGTATGGGTATGTAAAGATAGATAGCGCGGGTAGATTCTAGTCTGAACAGTGTGATGGTGACCGAAAGCTGGGGCGAAGAGAATCGCCTGCCTCAGTGCGGTCGATCGAGTGGACGAGTGCGTTTTTAAACACTCAGCTAATTGTACAGAACCTCAGAATTGTGAATAGGACGCTAGTGTGCCGAGACGGTGTGTGTTATTTCTCTTGACGCGGCTGGGGGAACGGGGCACGCAACATGGTGATTTCACTGCCGACTGCTCTACAGATGATGGAAAGCACGCTACATGACAACTGGAAAGCGAATTGGATGGAATTCGCAGCACTGCTCTAGTTGGATGAATATCCGAAGTGATGTCAGATGGCCATGTTCCCATACCTTATGGGCCATGGAGCGTGCGGTGTAATGGAGGCATGGAATTTCTGTGACTATGATGGAAAGATGAATCTTTCACAAATAATCGAGAGATTTGAAGACTATGGTGATGATCGATAAGCCCGGTTGGTCGATACCAGTTCAGTGGAAAATGAATGTCAGCAAGTGATGAAGGATTACACAATAAAGTAATCAAACGGCCTTAACGAACAAGAGTGCGTCCTTCCAACGCCATTGACACAAAAACTATTAGCATCATCATAGCCTGATCTAAGAACCACTGACAGCATGCTACCCTCGGAAAGCTGCATCGAAATAGAGTGCAGTACAACACATAGTCACTTCAGAGGGTCGAACAAACCGAGGCTGCAGCCGAAACATTGTGATAAAAACTGAAAATAAAGTAAAGAAACGACTTAGCAGTGTCAAAGAAGCCAATGAGGATCCTCGCCTGATGATACTGGAAAGAAGAAAAGCCTTATCGACCGAGATCGGGTTAAGTTCGATTTAGCGTTTATTCAGTCGGAGGCGAAGGAAGTTGATGACAGCAGCTAACATTCTAATGCAGTCTAACCTTACTGCGACTGTTATTCCTTTAGACCGGGAACTCGCCCGCAGTGGACGGGGATATGGAAAATACAACGCAAAAACTGCAAAAAAAGAAAAAGGGATGTGATGATGACTGAAAGCTGGGGCGAAGGGAATCGTCTGCCACAGTGCGGTCCATCAGGCGATCGACCGAGTGGACGAGTGCGTTTTTAAACACTCAGCTAATTATACAGATCCTCAGAATTGTGAATAGAACGCTAGTGTGCTGAGGCGGTGTGCCTTGTTTCCCTTGGCGCGGCTGGGAGAACTAGGCACGCAACTATAGGTAAGCGGTGTAGAGTGGTAGTTGGTCATTTGGGCGAGGGTGATCGAGGATGCGTAGGCAGACAGGAAGGGAATCAATCACCGCCAGCGTGAGTTGACCACATTTGTACGAATCGGAGAGACAAATCAGAATTGATTCGGCCTAGAGTGGACGAAGCACAAGTTTGTTACGAATAAAAGCAAAGCGGGTCAGACGGACAATGGAAAAGTGACGCGGACAAGGTGAATATGGCAACAGACAAAGTAAAGTGGATTGGAACGAGCAGAGCGTACGGACCAATGAACACAAACAGGCGGAAAGGTGCAAATTGACCAAAGTGAAGCTGTCTCGACGAAATATCGCCCCCAATTTACGTACAGTATACATGCACACACACAATTGCCTTGGAGATTGGATGTAGTTTACGGTAGCACAACTAATTGAGGAAATGAGGCTATCTTAGCATGTCATAGTTCACGTGCCAATCGAAGTTCTATACTCAGGAAAATGGTCTTGCCATGGGGTTGACAATATTCCCCGTGCTGGCAAATGCGTATATAGACGATTCTGAAAGACTTGGACCAACGGTAATAGCACGCCGAAAATCTGATGGCGCTACGTGCACGACACATTTGTGATTATCAAACGGGAAAATTAAGATGAGTTTCCATAATGAGGTTATAAACAGGATAGAATTGGAAGATTGCAATGTTACACTACCATTTTTTGACTGCTTAGTTCATAGGAATGAGGGTAAGCTGAAAACAACGATGTTCCGTAAACTGACAGACAGATGGGGTTCTCCATTACAGTTCACGTCAACCGAAGCATGTATATGTCAGAATTGACTCATCGCTGTTTCCCAAAGCCCAAACCTTGTGAACACGGTAAGAGGATAAAAAAGCAACTCGGAAGCAGGTAATGAACCAGTTGCTGGATAGTGCATACTCGAAACGACTGGTGAAACGCCAAGTGCAGAAGGCTTTAAGCCCAAACCCACGGAGTACCAAGTAGTGGATTGCAAGATAGGGATTGCCTAGAAAGAGGGAAATTCAGAGGCCAGCCGGAGGATATTAAATAGTGAACCACCTGGAATCTAACAATTCCTAATGTGCCACTTGAAATGACACGTTGAGCTGTAACGCGAATACCATCCTACTTACATTTAGATCGTCGCTATTATCGTCCCAAAGACGGCATCAGCCTAACCAAGTGGCTCAGTCAATTTCTTTATGTCCCTATGCCACGTCGTCGACTGGTCACCTCGCGCTTCCGCCCAACTTGGTGCAGCAACGGTATATAATGTATGACGAGGAAATGAGTCGATGGGGATATGGAGGGCATAGCCTAGCAAACGTAAGCCATTAAACAAACACTCGAGTGAGGCACCACAAGGCGTCTTGTCAAAAACCCACCGGCGGACCTCAGCATTGCTCAACCGGTGTTCCCACCAAAGGTGAGCAATAATCGGTAAGCACCTGTGGTCAAACAAGGCCATACGCTTAATGTCTTCACCGCGAACGAGTGAAATATTAACTACATATGAGTATGAACTCTGTACTGTGTTTATTCCGTTATTCGCAGTGACTCCGAATCAGACAGACCCCCAAGTATAAAGAAAGGTGCTAGACATATGTTTAGTCTTACTGCGACTCAGTAGTCGTGCTTAACTCCTGCCCCCGCCAGGAACCGAACCCAAGGCAGCTACGCCCCAGCGACTTATGGCATTAAGAATCCACTTACGCCACTGCCCTCAGTAAAATTATAAAACCATCTATTCAAAGTAATCAAAACAATCGTTTTAACAACGTCCAAATGATTTATCGTGCATACAGTTTGTTAAAAGAAGCCGTGGTTCTAGGGGTCAACAGTATACTTTGCAACATTTGCAGTCTGTGTGAAGAAGGAGAAGAAACCCCAATGTAACGCAAGCACCTTGTAACTCATGATGACACACCGCCATCACTCGTGGTTTATTGGCATTAGCCACTGGATAGTGGCGTGCCCAGGGGGTTCAGGTCCTGACGGATCCGGGAGATACGTCACAAACGACAAGTCCCAAAAAGACGAAATGACCCACTAATAGTTTTCCGTATGCGCTGGGAACTGTATGAATTTGGACTACTGTGAGGAACCCTGAATAGAATAGTGTTCAACTGGTCAGCAGCCGAGTGGATCATAGAAACTAAATACACACTGGTAGTGAATGCGAATCGTTGCGCACGTTCGAGGAGATGGATGTGACGTGTAATGTGACGTGTATCCCATCCTTTGGAGCTATAACGGGTCAAGAGTTGAACTTGAACTAGCCATACTATCTAGATCATGTCCCTCTCATGTTTGGTAACCTTAGAAATTGACATACATTGCTGGTAGATGCAGCGGGTCTTAAAACGTAGTCAGACAACAATACCCAAAAAATGAGATAGACTTGGGCTTGGCTTTCTGGTGCAAGTTGCGTTCCTATACAACTGTCTAGAGATGAACCACAATGGGGATGGAAAAAAAGAGGAAGAAATGGTGACCGAAACTACTCTTTTGGTAATAAGTAACAAATTCTGAGATCGATAAATTCCCGTTCCTAATTCAATCACACTTCATCCGTCAGCTGGACTACTTGGATCAAGGTGCTAAGATCCTTAATACAAGAGGAGAAAAACAAGCAACGAAATCTGCGACTGTAGTAGAATGGCTAGGGAAAGCAAATGATAGACTTTTGCAGAACCCACTTGAAATATGAGAGGAGTACTGTACAATCTCTGATAAGACAGACAGCAGAACTTACCCTAGTGATTATGAAGTCCGACATAGGTAGTTGGCCTTGTTTCACTTTATCAGCTGTCTCAGACAGATCAGTATGAATGCGCTCCAGAATAACGTCTTTTGGGTCGCCAGACAGGAGCGCGGCGACACATCGACGGCCAACGTTCACTGCCAACGCGGACCAATCACGACGGACGATGTCTAATCCCTTCAATTCCTGTTTCTTAGTCGGAGGAGCAATAGTTATGTTTTTGGCCTGCGCTGCTCTGTAAGCCGATGCCCACTGAACAGGATCATTGATAGCTAGAGCAGCATACTTTTTCTTGGCGAGTAAAAGCATGGCGCTATAAACCCCGTCGGTATCTAACTCCAGTAGCCTGTAATGCTTGTTGACCTCCTGTCTGACGCGTTCACCGATTGTGAGAGCGGCCAGTAAGTCGGTGGTGTTTGTATTGATCATGATAGAATCAGTATCGCCGTAAATGACCTGGGGAAAAAATGCAGGGTACACATTAGGAATCTGCCAACGTACTTCTGCTTGTCCGTGACAGAAAAAATTGGTGAGAAATACGTAAGGAATCCTGTAGATGGATAACAATCGGAGCACGTCACGAAAAAAGTGTGAGTAATCAAAGAATGATGGAGATGGATGGAGTTTGGTGGGGGATTACCCATTAGATTGGTTGAATCAAGCGTGTTGGTGAAAATTATGTCCCTCATATTGCGAATGCTTGTAAAGCCAAAGTAAGGCAATGGGTAAAAATTTTCCACTCCGGTAGCAGTGCGTCAGGCGTTACATAAACCTTCCTTACTACGGCAGACAAGAAACCACTCAGATACTTTAGATAATCTAACGAATGGCGGAGAGTCGATCGTACATTTCAAAACTTTTCAAAATGTTTGATTTCTTGAGACGAGTTCCGCATATCGTTTCGGCACAAACAGAACCAGACAACTTTGGCGACATAATAAATGGTTCAGTTAAACAAATGGACAAGTTCCGCCGTGGGTAGCGAGAAAACAGGTCTCAATGATAAGGGCAGCACTTAAATGAAGGTTAGGTGGAATAATTGGGTTTCTAGTGTGTTATGCGGAGCACTATAATCGACTACACAGGAAGCAAACTAACCTCAAGATTCATGCGTTCTACCAAGTCGCGTGTATTCATGAGAACTGCCCGGCCTAAGCCAGTAACGAGAGCAGCCAACCCTCGGGCAAAAAATCGAGAAGCAGCGAAACCCAAACATCCGTAGACACTGTTAGCAGTCAGTTTCAAAGCGGCCTGTCGTGTATTCCACTGGGCCAACTGCAAAGGACTTGCAGAGGTTGTCGTCGCGATAAGCTTTTTCACTTCTTTACGTGATTCTACTAAGCGGCGAATCTCAGCGGGTAAGAGGCCAGGGGCTTGGGAGGTCGGAAGACGCAAGTGGGACAAGAGAGGATCAGGGGCTGCAGCAGTTGATGAACCAGCAGAAGCCCCATGAACACTGGACAACAAAGAAGCGACCATGGAGTCTAAATCAAAAGCCTGTAAAAACGACAAGAAAATACATGACAAGAATGATGTACAATACAGTGACTGATGCATATTATGATGTTCAGTGCAGTCGGAAAAAAAGCGTGGGTGAAAATAAGGCAATAGAACATCGTATAGCGAGAAGGGGCAGATAAATCAAATGATGAACGTTGTGGTGAAGGGGAAAACAGAAACAATAGCAGACTGATGAATAAGAGACAGATGCCGTGAAAAATTCGGGAATCAAAGTGGAAACGTTAGGACGCGTGAACAAAGGCATCGAAAGAGAACAGTGCAAATACACGACGTGCCGTAGGATGGGGGTTGCAATGGAAGTCGGTTAGAAAAAAGACCAAATATGCTCAGTGGAGTATAGAGGGGACAAAGGAAAGCCAAGGTAGAACAAGCGAGATAGTGAAAATCGATGTGACACAAACGCTACGTCGCAGATGAAAAGAGAGGGACATCTATCTGAGAATGAGAAATGTACCAGTGGCCACAGCAGTGCTCCACAGGTGTTCAAACGCGATTAGTGAAAAGACCTAACCCGATGGTGCAGCTGAAAAGGAAACGAAATGAGGAACAGCTCCATTTAAAGCAAAAGGTTTCAATTTACACGTAAACGTGTACTACAAATAAGTCAAATGTCAAGATTACAAGGGTGCCAGATGACAACTCGACATAATCAGAGAAAAGACAAGAGAGCAGGAACGCACAATTTAGGAGTTAAGTGACGAAGCGAGTCAACGGCTTTGGAACAGAACACTACCCATTTCAGTGTGCGATAGATGATCAAATCGAACTGACCGGTAACCAATGAATGAAATGCATCAAATGTGGCATTAGTTTAAGGATATTGTCACTAGTATAATGTGACATATAATACATTATAAGTAGACGCATATATGTGCATCGGTAAACAAGACGAAACGGCAGGGGTTTTGTTATGCGATAGACAGAATGACCCCAAGTGATTTCGACAAGAGATGTGTTAAATTGGTGTCAAAGGAAAACATTGATACTTCAGTCAGCTTTTGCGGTAGCATCGTGCAGCGGACAGGTGCGAAGCATATGAAAAATAGAAACCGTTCAATTTCTGCGCGTAATCTGACACAGAATGGGGAAAGTAAACAAAATGATGTACGCCAAACGTCGCAGCAACTAGACAAAGCTTCTGTGGACGAGATAAAGAGAAGTAGGGACGAAAATGGGTATTCACACATCTGTGATCAAATGAATCTCAATGGTGAGCTGAGAAAAGAAAACCCCGGTAATAGATCACAATTGGGCGAATAGAACCCGTCTGAGAGGAGGGTGTACCAATAACAGCCTGTGAACTTGACGCATTGTCTAAAACTGCAGAAAGCAGCATCCAGATCTAACTGTCGAGCTGCAGAGGAAAACAGTGAAGAGGGTTCGATCATATTCGCCGCCAACGCTGCATTACAGAATCGGTTTTAATCCTGTGTGCAATAGTCGAGAACAATATGCACACACGCAAATGTCAGCCGCTTATGGGAAGCACGATAAAGTAATAGCAGTTTACAGGCAGCGATGAAGAATGGATGGTAATGTGCGCAACGCGTACTTTAGACTGCGAGGGCCCAGAACCAGTTCTTTCTGAGGCCATTTCGGATTCCGAAGATTGACCGACGGAAAGTGCACCACCAGTAACAAGTTCCCGATCCACTGTGGTGAAGCATACATTGAACTCTTGGATGATAGATGGATATAGAGAGTTGAAATCTAGCAACAGAATGTATTTGTCGTAGAAACCTGTGAAGGAAGAGAAGAGAAAATATTTCAACTGGTGGGCAGTGGGTAAAACGTGCGAAGACAAGCATCACTGGAAAGGTCGAATTTAGATCGACAAATCTAACATTGTTGTTTGACACATGATCTATGATCAGTAGGATGTATGATTCACCGCGGTTCGATGCATTTTGGAAGGAGCGAGTAAACTGAACGCGGTAAGGGGTTAGCTACGGACCAATCCAGCATCCAAGCACAAACAGAACGCATAAACGGGAGCGACAGATGTATGTATGCTACGTAAAAATAGGCAGGAGCAGCACCAGACAATGGCTTCGAGGAGGAGCGCACCAAGAAACAGAGAAAAACTTCGCAAATGAATGGATAAGGGTGTGGGTGGATGTAACGTATACGCTAGATACACACTGCCCCTTAAAAGAACCTGAAACATGACACAACGGTCACTAACTCCGCTGCATATAATGAGGGGTTACAGACGTAGTGTATCCAGAATAAAAATGAGAGCGAAACCGTTTAGAGAGTATTTAGTTACCATCAGTTTACAAGTATGGACAAGTTTATTCCAATGAAGTGAGAACGTTGGCACCAGCAGACCTGTAAAATGATCATAGATTCCGTTAGAAAGTCTAGTTCCGCAATCACGAAGCGTAAGAGTTGAGAAAACGACGAATTTACAAGAGAGCAGAAAGGGTGTTTTGAGCAGCTCTGTGTCGAGGTGACGATAGAGATATCAATGGAATTAGAAACAGAATGTGCCGACAGTGTCCCAAAGTAAATCGACCACGATAAGAGCAAACGTTGGGCAATAGCCTGGCACCTATGAAGTCAAGAAGGTTAAATCAATATAGCAGAAAGATAAAGATTGGTTAAGATGAAACGCAAACAGGTGAGTAGAACAGCTGTTTGAAGACGACAACAAATAAGAGTCAAAAGTAAAACTAGTGCTCAGATAGCAAGAGAGGCATTCACTTTTTCGGACACTGAAGAAGGCCGTCCTTTGAAGGCGGGAACAAGTTAAAACAGCACAATCTACTGACCAGTGACAGTTCTTCGGTATACTGTCACCCGATCATATTAAGGTCCCATCTAAATACGTACAGTGCACTTACTGAAAAGAACACAAGGTGATTTTCACTTCGTCTTTTATACATCAAAAGCGTCAGCGCAAAAGTCAGATAGTACGGTCATCTGAAATTAGAAGCTTTAACGGCATCAGTCTCAAATTGATCCGCCAAGAAAATGGTAAATCCTACCTTTCTTTGGTTCCAGAACTAATCCCCCTGTGTAGGCAGGCTTGCGTCTGCCAGCAGATGTTTGGAGTTCATCGCCTTGCTCTAGAGCTTCCGATACCTCATCGTGTGTTCCTTTTCCACGACGGTAAACCGGAGGGTCAGGAACAATATATCCGTGTTGTGTAAAGGCGTGCAATAGCAGCGCCTCATTGCGTTCAGCACGGCCTCCAGATAGAGTACGACTCAACACATTGCCGCAAATGGAGGTAATCTGCATCGCCAAGGGTAAAATCTGCAAAACAAATTGCAGAAAAAGGGTGGAGGTAGGCGTCGGTTTGTATCTACGGAACGCTCAGAGATTTATCATGTGATAACATTAGTTGTGTCGCTGTATCCAAAAAGTCCTTCGCGATTGCATCGGAGCGCTTCTTGAGTGGTCCCGATCTCATTCAATGTATCAGTTACGTATAGCATCAGGGAGAATCTTAAAGAAACTTGTCGGTGCACATAACATCAACGTGATTAGACATCCGATTTTTCTTCTGGAGCAGAGTAAATATAGAATGAATAAATGGTATATTTCTCAATTTTACGATAAGCTGACTGCAAGCAGGGTTAGATCCCAAGTGTGCTAGTACGACCGGGCAGTTATCACAAAATGGAGGTATTGTTTCGGTATGGAGTAGGCATTTGACAAACTAACGCAGATACACACCTGGTTTACAAATTTAA